TCCACGTCGGCCCGGGTCCCCTGGTCTCCTGCCTGCCTCTCCTACGTGCTTCCTGATTCGTTTCCAAATTTTATATTCACAGCTTCGGCCGGATTTATATTTAGAATTTAAGATTAGACCATGTTCACTAGTACTAGTTTATTGCTGCGTGATTGGACAGTTAGTTACGCTGGCAGCAGAAGAATCCGTGCTGGTTTAATTTTATCGAGATTATTATTATGATCGGTGACGATGGTTAGTACGGAGTGTAGCTAGTATATAAAAATAGGGATAATTGTCTGGCGGATACCAAAGTGACGGTCGTTTGCTGACGGACACCCCGTTTTGAGCAGTTTACCACAAGACACTTTGGTTCGGTGAAATTAGGCCACAGGACACCGCGGACCGGTTGCAACTCGGTTGAGGAGAGAATATTTCGGTTTGGACATCCAGTGCCCCTGAGCCACATGTGGGTCCGCCCCTCTCCCTGTCCCTGACGCGCAGGGCCAATCCACACAGCAATCCACGTAGGACGGAGCTGGGCCGGGTGCTCGGGCGGAAGCCGCTCACACGCTGGCGCTCTCGGCGACGCTTCCGGCGACCTCACCCTCCCCTCCCTCCCCGTCCCCAACCTTGTCGTGGATGGACCTTGGACGGGCTTAGCGTGGGAAAGCGACATGGCGGCGCGCGGCGTGGTGGCGCGCACAGCAGCAAGGTGAGAGGACGGAAGGAGACCGGCGGCGGGGGGGCGGCGTGGCCCGGCGACAGCGGGCGCGAGCGCGGTGAGCGCGACAACAGCAAGATAATGGCGAAGCTCTCGGCAGCGGGGCCTCACCGAGGCGAGCTCGGCCAAGCGCAACGGCGCGGTGAGGCGGGTGGCGCGCGGATCCCTCACCGAATCACGGCAGCGCGCCGGGGAGGTGGGATGTGGAGGTGGTCGGAGCGGTACGAACTCTACAGAGATCTTGCGACACCGCCCAGCACTCACGCCGGCGAAGCGCGGCGAGACACACAACCGCTCCTCCGTGTGCTGGGATGGCGCGGGCCGCTCCTCCAGCGTGGCGGGCGCGCGGAGGCCGCATGAGCCAAGCGAGCCGGGAGACGAGCGCGTTTTCCGCCGGTGGAAACAGATCTGCGCGGAGGAGGAGGATGGGCTTTGGCTTGCGCCATGAGGCGAGAGGGAGGCATGCGCGTGGGCGCAAGCTGGGAGAGCGAGGCGGCGGTGGAGGAGAGCATCGCGGCGGAACAGGAGGCTGCGCCGGAGGAGGTTGGGGCCGGCGCGGGTGCGGAGGCGAGGAGGCACGCGTTGGTGGCGAGCTGGGAGAGCGAGGCGGCGGTGGAGGAGAACAGCGCGGCGGAACAGGAGGCAGCGGCGGAGGAGGATGGGGCCGGCGCGGGCGCGGAGGCGAGGAGGCACGCGTCGGCGGCAAGCTGGGAGAGCAAGGCGGAGGTGGAGGAGAGCAGCGAGACGGTGTGGAGGTGGCCGAGCCTGGGCAGGCACGTGGCGGACAAGAAACAAAAAAAAAGAGAAAGGGAGAGAGAGGAAGAAAAAAACGGCGGGGGCAAGAATATTATTTCACCGTTGTTCTTTCTTCTCAACCGACTGTAACCGGTCCGTGGTGGTCTGTGGCCTAATTTCATCGAACCAGAGTGTCTTGTAGCCAACTGCTCAAAATGGGTTGTTCGTCAGCAAACGACTATCACTTTGATGTCCGCCGGACAATTGTCCCGTAAAAATATCACGAAGTTGTTTAACTCTGTCGGACACCGTGTCATGCATCCATGTACGTATAGTATAAGTATAGTAATACAGACGAATCGTATTCTTACCTGATGTATGTACATGTAGGTGAGGCAGAAGTGGATGGCACGGGACATGCGCTGCCCATACAGTTGTTGGAAATTAAAAATAAAGAGCGAATTTAAAATTCGCGGTGATGCTTGCTTGAACCTTCGAGATTTTGTTGCATTTATCAAATAAACAGGGAGATAATAATCAAGGTTAGTAAGGGTCTGTTTAGATCTAGAAAAAGTTAATTATTGTTAGCTGCTATGATACAATATTTTTCTCTCACAACAAATCAGCGAACAATATTTTTCAGCCTGGCTTTTCAGCGAAACGAACATGGCCTAAACCCGGCTGACCTATTAGCTGAGTCCGTTTGGATCCTCTAGCTAATATATGGTTAGTAGTAAAAACCAGCTAATAACTTTTCATTAGCTAAATAGTCCATTTTTAGATATTAGTTGGGCTGTTAGTTGTAGTATTGATCCCTAAAACTGATCTTAGCAGCTAACTATTAACTTATATGGGATTCAAATAGGGTCTAACTTTGTATAACCGAAGAGGAGCATGGGCGACCAGCAGCTAGCTCATTTTGTGAACAAAAGGTTTATGAACACAAGCAAAAGTGCCATGAGAAAACGTGTATGCAGGAGTATAATATCCCAACCTTTTCCTCGACAGCCATGATCGCCAAGCATCAATGAGTAGATGCACTCGCAGGATGGCTTTACAACACAAAGAAGATATAAGATTGCAAGGCCCAATAAACTAGTAGCAAAGAAAAGAGAGAGCCAAAAGGCTGTTTCAAGATTTTTCTGATAATTAGTGATGAGTCTGGTGGCTGGCCTACCTAGCTACTATATATCTATATATATTTATACAGGCAGTATTTGATGGAATGCCTTTTTTTAATCTCTGGATTAGTAGTATCTAATGGATTTGTTTTGTTTTTGTTGTCTTTGAGCTGAGCTGCTGGCAGGCAGGAAAGAAGAAGAGAGGAAGAGGCAGAGAAGGGTGCATGCCCATGCCCCGACCATTACAGCCTGTGCCAGACCCCCAATCATTTGGTTTCTTCTTCACTTCAGCTTCAACTTCAAACCCCCTGCCCTGACTCAATCATGTAGTACGTGTATGAGTCTTCAACATACAAAATATACCCCCGTTTCATGGAGATTTACGCTCTACGGTAGTTTTTGTCAACAATTTTGCATAAAAATGTTCTCAAGTTTATTTCGAATGGGAAGATGAGATGATAACAAGGGCGGATTTGCTCGTAAACCTACAAATAGACCGGTTCACCGACAAACCTGCCTGTGGATAATTTGATTTGGCTTAAAATGATACTTAAGAATGTACTATAGGTGCCACTACTTTTCTTTATTTTTCTAGAATTAATGTCATGATTTGAGGAATTGAGGAAGATGGCTCAATTTGCCGCCTCTTTCATGACACAAGTCCCAACATAAAAGTTTGGGAATACATACATATCTCAACGCATTGAATAGGTGAGCCGGAAACATGCTTTCAATTTACGTTGTTATACAAGATGGGACATATATGCTATACTCCTACTTTTTTTCTAGATATAAATTGAGTATTCTCCTCCCATGAAACTAGCATTGAGACTGCTCTTAGATTGGAAAGCTATTCGTCCAATAATTGCACAATAAAAACAAAAATGCATCCCTATTTTTTTAAAAAAAAGAGTAGGCAAAGTTATTGCTATCTCTGTCAAAGGGAACTTGACATTATTTTAGTTTTATTATAAATCAAAACTATTATAATTTCGGTCAAATTTATTAAAAGATAACTATATCTATATTATATTACTCCCTTCATCTATTACAAGTCATTCGGTATTTTAAGCACATGGATTTTACTATGTATTTAAATATAGGCTTAAATAAATAGATTAAAAATATGTATGCTTAGATTAATTATAGAACATATCTTTATAATATAATTATTTGGTACTATAATGTTGATAACCTTGTCATCAATTCGATCAAATTTAACATAGAACAAACTAGTACAACATTTAGTTTTTTTTTTGGAATCAAGTTCATTCATAATAAGTATAAAAGAAAAAGAGTTAGTAATTAATACTAAAAGGAAAAAGAAAAAGGAAAAGGAAAGAGGCGCCAGAACAAATCAAGGAGAGGATGAATGCAATGGCGCCGCTGGAACGAACCTTTCAACGGTCAAACAGACAAGATAATAATATATCAGTAAAAACTCCATCTTTTTCCGCTCTAATTAAATAAATTGACCAATTAATAATGAATTTATTGCTGCCTTGCAATTTTCTTGTGCGTTATAACTTGTCTTTCCCTCCCCGGCGTCGCCTCCCTTCTTCTTCCTCCATTCCGCTCCCCCTCTCTTCTTCAATCCTCCCTCCCCGCGCCGGAGTTGGAGGGAGAGGGGAGAAGCTTTCCGTCCCCGACTCCCAACCGCCGCCGATCCGCGCGCCGAGAAGATGCGGTAATCCTCCTCTTCGTGCTCGCGCTCTGCGTCTCTTCTTGGATCCGGCGATTGAGGTGCGGGCGGTGGTGGGGGAGGGCGTTTGATTCCGCAGCGGTGCCTTCCGTCCCGCTGGATCCGAGAAGAGTGTTTTTTTTTGTTTCTTTTCTTTTATATATCGTTTTTGCTTGTGATTTTCCGAACAGCGGTAGTTTTGGCTCTCATGGTTTCCTCTTGTTCGTTTCGTGTTGATTTTCCTCGTTCTCCGCCAACGTGAAAATAAATAAATGGAGATGGATTGGTGGGGAAAGGTGGCAGCTTTGGCGCGAATTTGGTGACATGGATCGAGAACGTTTTTCGTTATTTTTTGGTGATTTATTTATGCGTACGTCTGCCAGATGTTATTCACTCTGCTGGGATTTGTTCATTTATGATCAGAGCTGAATTGCTCTCGGGAATTGTGTAAAAATCTGGACAAACAGAGTTTCCAATTGATCATGCTAGGGTCAAGAGACTTCCCGATTTGGAAGGGGTTGGTCTGTCCTTGTCAAGTCTCCCAAGCCTATCTACCAATACAAACATGTCTGCAAGTGAATGTGCTTTTTTCAACAAACATTTCACTGAACCACAAATTTCTTGAGCTAAGCATCCCGGTCGTGTGTTTTTTTGACTCCGTGCTCTTTGCAGGTGAATCAAGTGCATCACGCCTTTAGGGAAGTCCCTTGGAGGCTTGGACAGTGGTTTGTGCTGCACAATTGTATAGCTCTGTTGCACCATGGCCTCGGTGGGCGTGGTGCGCTCTTCTTTGGGATTTCAGAATGGCACAAGTTCTAGCAGTGACGCAGATCGACTTCCGAACGAGTTGGGCAATATGAGCATAAGGGATGATAAGGTAATCTCATCTCCCCCAAACGTTTCATCAATTATTGCTTTCTGGTGGGTGCTCAGTTTGTGTTTGGTTTTGGTTTTGGTTTTTGTTTTGGAAACAATGCAGGGCGTTGAAGATATTGTAGTCAATGGCAATGGGGCGGAGCCTGGTCATATCATAGTGACCAGCATTGATGGGAGAAATGGGCAGGCAAAGCAGGTATTTTAAACAAAAAAAAACATGTTACTATAGAGAACTGAAGATCCCTTTCTTTCTATTTACTGATGTTATATGTGCATCGCAGACCATTAGTTACATGGCTGAGCGGGTGGTAGGTCATGGGTCCTTCGGAACTGTTTTCCAGGTTTGTTACTGTACAAATCATTATCAACTTGAGTTGTCCAGTTTTTATTTTAGTATTACACTTAGTTATTGACTAATAGCTCCTTCCCCCTTTTTTTCTAATAATGATCTTGTACAGGCCAAGTGTCTGGAAACTGGTGAGACCGTAGCTATAAAAAAGGTTCTTCAAGACAAGAGATATAAGAATCGTGAGCTGCAAACTATGCGAGTGCTTGACCACCCAAATGTGGTGGCTCTAAAGCACTGTTTCTTCTCAAAGACTGAGAAAGAGGAGCTTTACCTCAATTTGGTGCTTGAGTATGTGCCGGAGACTGCTCATCGTGTCATTAAACATTATAACAAGATGAACCAGTGCATGCCTTTGATTTATGCAAAACTTTATATGTATCAGGTAAAGCTTACTCTGGTGGGAGTTGTTGACAGATTCAGCATAACCGCATGATAATAGTAACCTCTAAAACCTTGTGATTGACAGATTTGTAGAGCTTTGGCATACATTCATAACAGCATTGGAGTGTGCCACAGGGACATTAAGCCGCAAAATCTCCTGGTATAGTAATAATCTCTATCTGTTTGACATTAAAGGAGAAATTCATCTTTAGTTAAGTTATAAGCGCAGCTTCAGATGGTTTAATGCAATTCTATTTCTGTAACAGGTTAATCCTCATACCCATCAGCTAAAACTGTGTGACTTCGGCAGCGCGAAAGTTCTGGTATGTCATAAGCAACTGATATTCACAGGAATCTTCGTCCTTGTTGTGTGCCTAATTATTTTGTACTGTTTTAGGTAAAAGGCGAACCAAACATTTCTTACATCTGTTCTAGGTACTACAGAGCTCCAGAGCTCATATTTGGTGCTACTGAATACACTACAGCCATTGATGTTTGGTCTGCTGGCTGTGTACTCGCTGAGCTGCTTCTAGGGCAGGTAACGGATCACTCGATGTACATGGGTCATCAGTGGACTACCCCAGCTTATCTCTGCCTACAATCTAATTGTTCTTCTTAACAGCCTCTATTCCCTGGAGAAAGCGGTGTTGATCAGCTTGTTGAAATCATCAAGGTAAACTACTATCTTCATCCCAATTAAACTCCTGCCTATCGTAGCTTTTCCTCCAATTTAATCTCATTCTCTGTCAGGTTCTGGGCACACCCACACGTGAAGAAATTAAGTGCATGAATCCAAATTATACCGAGTTTAAATTCCCTCAAATCAAAGCTCACCCATGGCATAAGGTAGGAATGCTGTATTGGATTGTGCTCCCTCCCTTCCTATCCCTAACCTCCACCAAGGTTGACATCTTCCATTGCTGTCTTTTTGTGCTAGATCTTCTATAAAAGGATGCCTGCTGAAGCAGTAGATCTCGTGTCCAGACTTCTGCAGTACTCACCAAAACTTCGGTCCACTGCTGTAAGTGTAACTTCGTTATTGAGCAAACAAGAGGCGTTGGCATTTACTGTCCTGTTGTTAGTGTTTTTTTTTTTTCTTTCACTGCTTTAAGCATTATTTAGCACAAGTTGCTTTTATCAGTTATAACATCATATAAACACTTCTTCAAAAAATCAGAAGTCCTGGTTATTGTCATTTATTGCAAGTTGGTTACTCATTACAGTTGGAAGCATTGATCCATCCATTCTTTGATGAACTTCGGGATCCAAACACCCGCTTACCGAATGGCCGCTTTCTTCCGCCTCTCTTCAATTTCAAGCCCCATGGTAAACCTGTTATACTGACTTCGCTTGCGCTGATAAAAAAACCTCGAAACAACTCATCAACTGATATGTTGTTGCAATGTTGCTACTCTGGTGGTATCGAAACAGAGCTGAAGAGTGTGCCGATGGATTTCCTGGTGAAGTTGATCCCTGAGCATGCGCGGAAGCAATGTGCCTTCGTAGGGTGGTGATCTCTGGCTGAGAGGACGGCTTAAAGATTAGTTGAGGACCAAATTAATGTCTGTTAGAAGAAACTGGTGGAGATCGACATTGCCAGCTGTGGTATAAGATAGGCAATATGTGTGATTATTTTTTGTCCGAGGTTATCACTCCCCTTACCCCCCCGAAAAGATGAAAAGATGTCGATGTAACAAATCCTCTGCGGTTCTGTAAGTAGATGAGTGTTGCTGCATGTCCCTGAGTACATGTATCGGTTTGCGCTGAGCCGCTGAATTCAGTTTGCCTGGATTTGTACTATCGCCATGCAAGGATGTACCCTTTGTATGACGATGTTCAGTCCAACATTTGTTTATGGATTCAGGCTATTCATTCATTTGTGCTCCTAGCGTCCTGTGGATGCTTAAGAAATATTTGCAATTTTTCTATTTGGTATATAGTTCTGGTAACATCCAAAGAAAAAGTTTTGGTTACAAGTATATGTTACTCATTATATTCAGTATGACATTGAAAAGAAAAAAAATATAACGACAAGTACCAGCAAATTTATTAGTGACAAACAAAACACTCTTTATCAGTTATCAGACCGAAGTAGTATCCAGGTTAATGTAGTATGAGCTATGCCCACAGATTATTTAACTATTTACCACTTTTTATGTACTGAATGGCAACACATCTGCCAGTCTGCCACAACGGCAATGGCTCATTGGCATTGACTCTGGTGTTCCCAGATGTTAGGGACACAGTAAGCCTCCTGCGTTAGACTGGGCTAGCATAGCACAAAGGCCTCAATAAGATTAGCTGAAAGAACACTTCCTCTTTAACATGGAAAACATTAGTTGGCAACCTGAAGATTCTGGTGGGGAGACAAATTAGATGTTTGCAAGTTCACCGTGCATATGCAGCGGAAGCCACTGTACAAGGTACAAATCCTTCCTATTTTGTAGATGGTGAGCAAGGAGAACTGTATACAGCTGCGACAGGTACTCATACTCTACGAACAACACAGCAGGAGCTCACAGGTACAGGCTTGAAAACCAGGATTTAACCCAAATGCTGAACCAGTTGCCTCTTCAGTCTTCACCCAGGACCAAAATGCCATGGTAACTCTGTCAAAAAAAGCAGCAGCCATGGTAACACAGGTGCTGCATCACTGCCAAATGGCACACCCCATTGGCTGGGCTAGGAATATTAACACATAATACACAATCTCTGATCACCTCGGAAATTTTCATCAAAGCAAAAGCTAGAGAGGTGTACAATGGTCTGATGGCTGAAGCTACAGCAATCTGGCTCAAGGCACAGGTTGCTGCATCTCTACAGTTGACCAAAGATAATCAAGTCCTTGTCTCTGCTCTCAACAATCACAACATGCGGACTAAGGCCAAATACCCAATGCTAACAGACTTCACAGCTCTCAACACAGGAGACAAATTCCGGCTAGAATTTAGAAAGCAATGGAAGATAAACAAACATGATTGCACATTGTCTGGCAGTAGAGGCTAAGAACTCACCAGCCAGTGCATCTATTCCTCTAATCACATAGGCCACACACAGATTGCATGACAAGAAGCAATCCAGACGGTAACCTGGGATTACCTTCATGTCTTGCATGAAATTTGTGTTTTGAGTTGAATGAAATCTTCTATTTGTCCAAGAAAAAAAGAACAGAAAACTTAATCAGAAATCTGTTTTGAGAAATACCAAGCAGAAATCAACTATGAGATGGTTCGAGTTGCAATGATCCACATAGATCAACTGAAATTTTTGAGGAGAAACAAACAGGCAGTTGAAAGATTTTGAAAGGAGCAACATCATTATCAAAGATTAGAAGTGACCAACAAACACAAACCAGAATAAAGGATAAGTCAATTCCTTGCAATAATCAAGTCCCAAGACTTCTCAAGTTTACTTGTACCATCCTCTTGTCAAAGTTTACTCATAGCATCCTACATTTACACATCAGATGATTCTACATCCTCCTACAGGCTAGTTTTATGAAGATGTGCGATCTTCATCAAAGATGGACTCATCAATTGAGTCTAACTGCAGTCCCTACTCTTTTAACAACACGGGCATACTCATAGAAGCGGTTGGAATCCATGCCCATTGTCGTATTTACTGTAGTACCACCTTTGCAAGAAGTATAATTCCCACCAATAATCAGACCAAAACCACCAAACTCTTTCACCAAGTCTTCAATCACATGTGTTTTGAGCTTCCAGATTCCCACATACTGCCTTAGCATTCCAGTTTGTTCAGTTTTCGACCACCACCCTCTTAGAATTTTCCTATTCACCTCAGATTCCTCAACAGATATTACACATTTCAAAGGAATGCCTAGCCGATGAAGTGTTACTTCTGCACCTCCAATGCACTGTAGATGGATAACACTCTTATTCCATCTGGACACATGCCTTTCAGGACTAATAAAAAATATGACAATGTATCAGTCTGAAATGCATATTTCATGGCAGCAAATCGATCAGGTTGGTTTAATTCAAACAGATTTGTGTGGTTATGTGGGTAGCCTAGTATCCTTTCCACTTGACGAGGCTCCAAAGGGCATAACTTGTCCCGACCAACCCAAATAAGGTTTGAAACCCTGCACTGGTGTATAATTTGCATCTGTCTTGCTTCTGAAAGCACTCCTCTTGACTCTCTAACCATGCTCCCCAATCTTTCACATGTCTGCTCAATCCCTGCAAACTCTGTAGTAACAACACTGATATGTTTTCTTGTATCCCATGAGGGCCACCACTGTCTGGTGAATGGAAGTGCTTCTTCAATAGTCATTGGAGACTTTGGAACCACGACACGTCTTTTCTCCACTGGAAGATTGTGAATGTAACCTTCCTTTCGACTTAGAGTGGAGAAGGACTGACTGTTCACAAACTCAGGCTCCACATTGTATAAGAACTGTTTGAGTTGATACCATGTGTCTTTTGGAATGTCTACCACATTTCCATACAAGAAAAATGGGGGTTTAGCAAGGTCACCTTGTACATTTGCACGGAGGCCTGGTGTCATTGCTTCAAGTTCTACCTTAACATGCATATCACTTGTCCCTGCACAGTGCCCCATAGACCATGGATTGCCAGGGTGACTACTGGAGGCACCTGTGTCATCGATAAATATATGCTTAGCCCTTTTAACCCCTGTATTGTTGCTGTCATCGTCATAATAGCTTGCAGCAGAGTATGAGGGCTGGTATGAAGAATAATCAGGTTCTGCCTCGCCTAGAAAGTCAGATTCAATTTTTACCTGCACAGAAGCATAAGACGCCAAAATTAGAACACATAGAATCTGTCTAAGAGAATGTTACAAAATTTCAAAAGCTATAAAGAGCTGCTTTAAAGAGCAATGTTTCATTGACCATGGAAATGAGTTGTTACAGAGATACATGTTCTAACAAATCAAGCCACAATCTAGGAAAACATCAGGGAACATCGAACCAGTACCATATACATCATTTGAATATGGAAGGCAACTGTAGATTCTGCACCATGCTATGACATAATATGCGAGTTTGGACAAGATTCTCCACATGAGATGATTTTTATCATGGCCATTACAAGCCTACAGCAGTAAGAATAAAATGCTAGTCAGTTACCTCTTTCTGCTCAATGCTATTGGCTATTCGCCTTGCCAAAATTGAGTCAGCCAGCTCCTGATCAGTTGCTCTCTGGTCTGAAAGAGTATACAAGTACCATTATAAACATTCTAGGATCTCATAAAAAAATGAGCAATAATCTTTTAACCCTTGACTTACCAAAATTGTCAATAACTGATGATACCTCTTCCTTGGTAAAGCCCATCTGAAGTAAGCTAAGTGTTTTTTCCATCACACCACACAGTAATTCAGTCTTTCCCTGAAAAAAATGCCATTTTAATTTATAATTCTTGAGGTTAAGTTTTAGAAGTAGCAACCATAATACGCATATTCACTATATCAAAAATCCACATCAGTCATTGGTCATTGAGTACCAAAATCAAGGAAAAGCACATAACATTCTTGATCAGCGTAACTGGAAATATTTCGAGTGTAGTCAAGGAATGGTGATGTAAGCCAACTGAAGGAGAAATAGCAGAAAAATAACAAGCATCTCAGTTTACGTGACACTTGTTAAGGTATAATAGTTAAGAGTAATAGTGTAATCTCCTAGTCTAGGGTTTCCCTCTTGTGTTTCTCATGTACTCTATATAGTCCCCATTGGGCCTCAATACATCATCCAATTCAGTCCCCATTATTTGTAGCATGGTACCACAACTCTAGGTTTTGTGATCCAGGCATCCAGCCACCACCTTCGTCTTCGCTGCGCCACGCCCCCGCCCCCCCCCCCCCCACCCCCGGAGGATCGTCTCTACTCCCGGGGGCAGCTTTGTAGATCTACAATTTGTTTTAGTCTTCATCACATTCCTCGTCCAGCACATCATGCAAGAGCATCAAGCTGTTAGCCTTCCTCTTCTTCAGCAGCAGCAAGTCATACAGAGGCAGATCCAAATCCAGCAGCCATCCCCTGCCCGTTGCGACTCCTCCCCCGCAGAATCATCCCCACCCACTACGGTCCGTGCATCATTGATCAATCTTCAGGCCACCGTGGATGCATGAAGAGGCCCCGCACGGACAGACGGGTGAGGGCAGACGATGAATCCGGGTGGAATCGACGATGGGCACAACGGCGGCCTGAAGATTGATCTGCAATGCACGGACCGTAGTGGGTGGAGATGATTCCGCGAGGGAGGAGTCACAACAGGCGGGGGACAGCTGCTGGATATGGATCTGCCTTGGGATGACTTGCTGCTGAAGAAGAAGAGGAAGGACTGGGCTTGAAGCTGCTGCATGACATGCTGAATGAAGAGCATGATAAAGACAAAAATAAATAAATGTAGATCTACAAAGTTGCCGCAGGAGCAGAGCGATCCTCCCATGGGGAGCACAGCGAAGACAAGGTGGTTGAATTGGATGATTGTATTGAGGCCCAAAAGGGACTATATAGAGTACATGAGAGGCTCAAGAGGGAAACCCTAGACTAGGATATTAAACTAATACACTTGACTGTTACACCTTAACAACACTGAGCCAGGCCTACAAAGTGTTGAGATGAACACGGGAAGTCTAAAAAATTGCTGGGGAAACATGAAAGCAAACTGCAGAACAGGGATGATGTATGAAATAGTCCTTTCAGAAACACCATGGTACAAACTGGAACCATCAACTCAGAATTGAGAAGTATGCAATGTTCTACCCTCAAACTAATAAGAAGTAACTACAGTTTGCACCACAACAGATGTTGCAGAGTGATACATGTTACAAAGAATATTGCTTTAGAATGCAGATCCATATGTAGAAAAGACTTTTGTAATGACTAGGTCACTTTATGTGTCGTGGGGTAATTCAGATACATAAACTACATAGAATTAAACAAACAGGCAACAGGATAAACCTCATTTGTAGCATCACCATTTTCTGGTCCTCCAGAGGATACTCCTGATTGAGCATTGACAATGAAGTCCACGAGCTATTCTAATGGTGCTTCATCACCTGAATTAAGCATATTATGGAGCATTACTGTATTGCATATTGGGAACGTGCCCGTTTATCAAGCATGTCTAACACTGTAATGGCAGTGGGGGCCCTGGACAGGGACACAGGGCCACCAGTTCAGCAGCAGCAGCTTAGGCAACAAGGGATTATTTTGTTAGTTTGTTCAGGTTTGTTAGCAGATAGGATTGATTAGTTGGATAAGAGTTGTTAGTAAGTTTGCTAGGCGCCTAGTCTATAAAGGCAGCTGTGAATCCTAGGTTAGTAAGGAGAAAATAGATCAAAGAAGCCAATCTATCCTGCTGTTATTGCTGCCAGCATCAAATCAACAAACCATATCGAATACATATTTTTTAAGGTTTCAATCAGTACGGTTTGGGTCTAAGAGGACAATCTGAACAATCAATAAGAAATTTGTTAACTGCGCAAAAGTGTAGGTACCTAGTTGCTTGAAGGCCAAATCAACTTCTTGTTGTGAAAAGTTCATTGTTCCAGAGTAAAAATGACCACTTCTCTGAGAAAGAATCAAGCTCTGGCTGGAGATAGTGAGATGTTTGTTAAAATTGGTTCAAAAGTTCTATATGAGTAAGATAATGATTAATTTCTTCTGCTAAGAGATCACCTTGATGTCTTTGATTCCTTTCCTAGACTCTAAAGAAGAATTGTTCTCTTCATTATCACAATCAAATAAACTTCCAAAAGAACCCGATGACTCGGATCTAGACTGCTGATGGTCCTGTAACATAAAGGAAGGAGAGATTCTTCAAGCCCATACCTTCTCTCTTTCCCAATGCACATGGCCCAGTAAGGGGTTATCATGGGGATGCAAATAATATCTTCATAAAATCTATAGATCAGATGCTTCATAGGGTACAAACTCCAGCTAAGTAAAACAACATTCCAATTACTTCAAGGTTCTTAAAGTAAAGTTAAGTAGTAATTAGCAAAAGTGTAGGAAAACTTCAAAAAAAAAAGGGATATAAAGAGTCACAGTGGACAATGAGATCCAACTGGACTTGTAGCGTTATTTCATACAGCAGAGTTGTGTAATGAATGAGATGGTAAAGGTAACTACTTATGCAGAACAATTGGTTCTAAAACACAAGCACCATGCACTCTTCTGATATGAAGCCAGCTATCTATCAAGAATTTAATACAGATAAAGTAGCATCATGAGGATCACAATGGACTCTAGAATAGACAAGGAAATCGGCAAAGCACTTACAGAATAGGACAGAAGAGATTCCAAAATTGTGTTAGAATCATCGTCACCTGCATGAGATTTATATGCAATTATTAATTCATAGAGTACAAGGCAATGTTCATAGGGCTTTGACTTTGGAGATTGTTTCACATCACTATACACATTGAAAAAAAAAATTTGGCGTGTCGTCGAAAAAGGCATACCATGTCTCTGGAGAACCTTGTCTACCCGCTTGGCTGAAAAACCCATTCCAATAAACTGTAATCTTAGTTTACCGGATGAAGAACTCGGTTGACCTTCCTATTGTGAGCAAAATGTCAGTATTCTGACTTTACCAAAACAGAATAAATGCACCAAAATAACCCTATTCTGATCAAACTATAATGTCTATCTGTTTGCAATTTAATAGCTTAGCATTCTAGTTACTTCCAAATATTCACTAACCAGAAAAACAAAAAAAATCTCAGCTTCAGTGGTGTTAAATAGCAATCCGCAATCTTAGAAGCGTCACATTTGGAATAAAAGAATCCATTTAGGCCATTCTGGCTTGGCACTAGGACATCAGATACGTTGGTTCTCCAAAGCTAAAATGAACACTTAATCACCACTGATCGTCTCATTCAGTTAAAAGCTAGTTGCTTAACAATTAAAAGAAAAGGTCCATACAAAAAATATATTTAAAGATGACCAAACATGGTATCAGATAAACTTCATATACTAGAAACAGCAAAGCGTAACTCGAGCACAGCTAGCAACTGGCACCCAACTGCAGAAATTTACATCATTCCCTGACTACGAGCATGTCTCAATAATTTTGCCTCTACCACAAAAACCACATCTTACAACAGCTATGGTGCGCATAATGTCAGTATCGTTACCAAAACAGAATCGATGCACCAAAATAACCCTGCTCTGGTCAATCTATAATGTCTATCTGTTTGCAATTTAATAGCTAGCATTCTAGTTACTCCAAATATTCACTAACCAGAAAAAACAACAAACAAAAAACATCTCAGCTTCTGCGGTGTTAAATAGTAATCCAAAATATTATGATGATATTTGGAATAAAATAATACATTTAGGTCACTCTGGATTGGCACTAGGACATCATATACGCTGGTTCTCCAAAACTAAAAATGAACCCTTAATCACCACTGATCGTCTGATTCGATTAAAAGCTACTTGCTTAACAAATAAAAGAAAAGGTCCCAACAAAAAATATATTTAAAGATGTCCAAACATGATATTGACTAAACTTCATTTACTAGAAACAGCAAGGCGTAACTCAAGTAAAGCTAGCAACTGGCACCCAACTGCAGAAATTTACATCATCCCTGACTACGAGCTGTCACGATAATTGTGCCTCTACCAAAAAAACCACATCCTACAACAACCATGGTGCGCATAATGTCAGTATCGTTACCAAAACAGAATCGATGGACCAAAATAACCCTATTCTGGTCAATCTATAATGTCTATCTGTTTGCAATTTAATAGCTAGCATTCTTGTTACTCCAAATATTCACTAACTAGAAAAAACAAAAAACAAAAAAATATCTCAGCTTCATTGGTGTTAAATAGTAATCCAAAATCATATGATCATATTTGGAATAAAATAATCCATTTAGGTCACTCTGGATTGGCACTAGGACATCATATACATTGGTTTTCCAAAACTAAAAATGAACACTTAGTCACCACTGATCGTCTTAAAAGCTAGTTGCTTAACAAATAAAAGAAAAAGGTCCAAACAAAAAATAGATTTAAAGATAACATGATATCGGTTAAACTTCATTTACTAGAAAAACAGCAAGGTGTAACTCAAGCAAAGCTAGCAACTGGCACCCAACTGCAGAAATTTACATGGTTCCCTGACTACAAGCATGTCTCAATAATTTTGCATGTACCACACGTACTACAAGAACTAGCTGTCGAGGAGCACATCACCTCCTCCTTCAAGCTGGCATGCACCGAGCCAGGCAGTGGTTCCACAGCAGCCTCCCCGAGACCCATGGCATCAGCGTCTGTGCCGCCGTCCTCGGCATGGTCTTCGACCTTAACCTGCATTCCCCAAGGACGCGACGAGTGAGCATGGTGTACACAGTTAAGAAACACAGACATGCAGACGGTGCGGAGCAGAATGTCGCCATCACCATTTTCCAATCAGATAGGATTCCAGACTTGCACGCCCCTGAGGAACACAGACATAAAAAATCAGGCAACGTCGCCAGCAGCAGCAGCAGCAGCGGGGTTTAGTGCGAGGGGAGGGGGGAGTCTCCGAGTCTGGGGCGTGGGGATCAGGGGCGGACCCAGTAAACGACATGGGCGTAAACATGTCCACCGATAGTTTTATGCCAGAGGAATCGAAGCTAGTAGGCGAAATGCTGCGACATGCATACTATGCTTGTATTCAGATCTAATTCGAGTGCGGATAGCATAGGGGAGGGGAGGCGAAGGTGTGGGCGTACCTTGTGGGTGCTCGTCGCCGGCGATGGGCCCGGAGAAGACCTGCGCACCTGGCGTAGGGCGGCGGCGGTCGCCCTGTCGTCGCCGCGAGGGAGGTGGATAGAGATAGAGAGAGCGCACGCGGGGGGAACGGAACACACCCCGGCCGAGAGAGAGTGCGTACGCTGTACGGCCTGTGGATGGAGTAGAAGGGGGGTCGAATTTTGTGTTTTTTAGCCTTTTTTTTTCAAAGATTTTCACAAATACGCAGCTGACAATATCCTTTCAAAAAATAGACCCAACCTCAACGCCGTGACAATTGGTGCCGAGCTTACACGTCTCGGCGTCAACTGCTTTGGCGCTGAGGTCCAGGGTCATTTTCTACGTGTCGTTGACGTGGCTGCCTGGGTGACACGGACGTGGCATGAGCTCGGTGCCGTGGATCTTAGTGCCGAGCTATGAAAATTGACAAATTTTAATTTTTACCATGACTTGAATATTGAGAAACGTGGCTTAACTCTAGATACAATGACTTGTTGTTAGATCACTTAAAACAATCTAGAAATACTTAAAATAAAAAATTTGCCTGACCAAATGGAACTATAGCACGTCCGGACGACACAGTACAGAGCTCAGCTCCTACAGCACGGCGGGCGGTGCAGGGCTCTCTATGCGTCTATTGCATTGCTAACCGGAGATGTATCGGTGCATGCAACGAACCGTACGTGCATGTGTAGGCATGTAAGCACGGACGCAACACATCTCACTACCTATAAGCACGTCATGACCAGTAAGCACGTGGAAATATGACTAAGTCTAGAATTTATGACTATGGCTAAATCTGATTTTTTACCGTGACTAAGTTCAAACTTGACGAGACTTGTTTTGTTGTCATCTCCTCAGAGAGTATTCAAACTCGTAGTACGGTATCAAATTGAGTTGCTATACAAATTTGGAAGATAAAATGTCACAAACACGTCAATTCACTACTGGCGATAGGGGAATTAGAAAGATTTAGAGGGGCTAAAACAACATTGTATTCAAACTTATGGTCATAATTCGATCATGTTAAAGACTGATTTAGGTTTAATTCCAAAAGCAAGGTATGTTGTACTCAACTCAACCTACAACTTCTATTAAAGGTCAAGCTTCATATCTAAAAAAGAAACTATAGTTTTACCTTGGTCAAAACATCATAAAAAAAAGGAGTTAACTATTGATCCAACACTAAAGCATTTTTAGGTTAGCTCATGAACATAAACCCTAGAACATTTTTTATCTTAATTATTTCTAGACTGTTTTAAGTGATCATACAACAAGTTAATGTAAAAAATCTAGAGTTAGCCACATTTCCCAATATCTAAGTCATGGTAAAAATTAAAATTTGTCAATTTCCATAGCTCGGTGCCGTAGTAATTGGCGCCGAGCTCAACGCCAAGATCCATGGCGCCGAGCTCATGCCACGTCCGCGCCACGCTAGCAGCCACGCCAACGACACACAGAAAATGACCCTGGACCTCGACGCCAAAGCAATTGGCGCTGAGACATGTAAGCTCGGCGCCAATTGTCACGATGCCGAGGTCGGCGTCTATTTTTTGAAAGGATGCGACCAGAGGTGTATTTGTGAAAATCTTTTAAAAAAAACTGAAAAACAAAAAAAAATCAGGAAGGGGGAACAAAATGCAGACAGCGGCGCCCGCGGGATAGCGAGTGGTACAACTGGGACTTGTATGGTAACTGTTTGACAGGTTGACATATGCTCAACAATAATTTTCTCCAGCTCTCCTGTTTTATTTTTACCATGTGGAATCTGAATATTCACGATAAAATGACTACCTGTCATCTCCTTTTGTTCTCTTCAACCGTTACATGATGTTTTTTTCTTCTTTCTCTTAATAGTAGGATGGTATTCCTCAAAAGCAGCGATGTTGTACGACAACATGTGAATTTCTTAGCATATGTCTAATTTACTCTCCTGCATCATTTTTTATTTGTTTTTAGTATAATAGAATGCTATACCTTCCATTTTATTTATTGGAATGTCCATTTATCCTAGCGTATATAAGAACTTTTTCTTTTCCTATGAATTAAGATGTTCATTCAGAGCGGCTTCAATTTATTTGTCACTATGAGAATAAAAACTTACTTGTATTATTTCAAGATTTATTAAGGTAGCCCGATAGCTTTGTTTCTTATCAATTTTGATATGCTTTCCTGCAGAGGGCACCTCAGATGTCAGGCATAACGTGTCAACGAATTGCGGATTACTCTTTTAACATCGATGGTCACTTAAACGCCATGTACTCTATCATGCCTGAATAATAAGAAAACTAATTGAAAGTAAACTAGCACTCGATTTTTCTAATTTTATTATCTACTGCAGAGTGCTAGTCTACTTTCAATTTTGATACGCTGTGAGGCGGTAAGCTTTCAAGATTAAAATCATATTTTTCTTTTGTGATCGATGCGTTGCATAAATGCATTATTTCAGTCTTCCGTCCATGTTCATTTGAAATTCAGCATTGAATTCCTACGTGTTTTTCACTTAATTAGTCATTACCTGCTTTCCATAACAAGTAACCAACAGCACCATGCAAAATTAAATTGACAACCATATGCCAACCTATTAGCATAAATACAAGATGAATATATATTGTATATAGAGATCTATATACTCCCAAGGCTATATACAAGCCATATAAAAATTAAGATATTTACACTTGACAATCTAGATGTCGTCCTCATCCTCCAAGCTACAGGCTCTCCCACTCTCTCATCTTTCATTTATAAACAAGGCCATTGTCGTCTGCTCTATATCGTCACATTCACTCATGTAGTGGTAACCACTCCACTTTCCGTCCCTCTAATTGATCCTGCTCAACAACAACCTACCAGTTGTCAACAATGTCTCTCCAAACACTCCTAGCCCTCCTGTCATGCCACCAGTTTTATCCCTTAGAGTAGCTGCAACGTTAGAAATACGAGGATAGTGTTAAGTAAAGCCTACATTGAGGAGACTAGCCTAGCAAAATTCTCTCCAAAGTATTACACTAAATATGGGCACACCGGACCTTATAAGTAACAAAATTAAAAAAAAAACTATCTTTCGTTGACCCATCACTCTCTCTCTCTCTCTCTCACTCACTCACAAAACACATGCATTTGGAGCTGCTCTTATGTGGTGTGGAAAGCAACCACATAAAGATCTTACTCTATAGTTTGCATAGGATATCAATTAAGTCATCAACAAAGGCAGAATGACTAACTGTTAATACTACCTCCGTTTTAGAAAGAGTGTCATTCTAGGTTTAGACTAAATAAAAAATAATTTAGCTAGATTTATCCAAAATATTATTAACATTTATAACTCTAAATAGATTGATTATTAAAATATATTTCATAATTCATGCAATGATACTTACTACACCTCATAAATATTTGTATTTTTTTATATATTTTGGTGAAACTTAACATTAATTATCGAAAAATAAGAATGATACTCTTTCGAGGACGTAGGTAACATGCAGTATTATTTTTGGGAAAAAGTTTTAACTGCCAACATACAATATGCGTGTGTTTTAAAATGTTTAAGGGTCGATAGAGCCGAAGGGAAAAAAAGTACACGTACACTGCAAGAATCAATGCACATTTTCGTTACTTCCCAAGTTTTTGCATTTTGTCCCTTTTTTGAAGAAAATTTACGTTTAACCCCCTGAGCGACGTAAACTGATCTTTGGACCCTGGGGGTCGGCGTCGTTGCCTACGGCGCCGAGGTAACACGTCTTGGTGCCGTAGGTCTTGGCACCGAGATGCCTGGCCAGGCAAAACGGGGCATCCAAGTGGCACGGACATGGCAGGTAGGTCGACGCCACAGAACCTGGCGCCGACGTCGGAGCCACAGATCTTGGCGCCGATCTAGGAGCCATGGGTCTCGGCGTTGACCTCGGAGCCAAGATCCATGGCGCCGAGGTCAGATTCAAAACCCACGCCAAGGTTTCCCTGGCCGAGGCTCCTTTCATTTCTTCCTCCTTGTTCTCGTGTTTTTGCTCTCCCCAAACCGCCTAATCTCTTGAATCGAGCAATTTGACCTTGGAAAGTTGGATTTGATCCATAGATCTTCGAGAGCAAGGTATGTTCTCTCCCCTCCTCATTTTTTACATATTGGTTTGGTATATATTACGTGTATTTTGCAACCCTAAATACATTAGTACTTATTGTTTGAAGTGATTATTAAATTTTTGTATTATGTAATGGTAGGATGCCAAGGCATGGTAAAGCTAGTAAACCAAGGTAATATCCGTCAATCATGTTATATTATTGGTTCATTTATGTGCAACAAATGGAAAACCCTAGGTTTATGGTTTAATGGTCATTGCTTTCGGTTCTTAGAACGAAATTGATTCATTTGTAGTTATGGCCGGATGACCGGAAATGCCTTCGACCCATTGCCTCTGCCTAGTGGTGTTCCAGTGCCCATGTGCTTTTGCGGTGATCCTTGCAAGGTAGCGAAGTCCGATGAAGAGGACACGTATAGGCAGAGGTATTGGATGTGTGCCAATTTTGCCTTT